ATTTCAGTTGTTTAGAGCGAGAAGGCAAATGTGAGCCTTGCTCTCTCGACTCCCACGAGGCGATCCGAAATTACTTCGGGCAGCTTCGGAGAATCGAGAAAGAGGGCATGCGTCAGTTTGCCTTTGTCGACTTTCCGAAACTTCACGAGCTCACGTACGCGTAACTGGCATGCGTGCGTGTGCACCCGGCGGTGCTTTTCTGGCATCTCTGATTGTAGTAGTAGCGATCTTTTTGAAAAAAAATCTCGGAAACTAAGGCCGAGCGGCGGTTATATGTATAGGAAAAAGTTGTTCAAAATCTTGATTTTTACAACATACTCAAAAATCATCGAAATCGGTGAGACCCCACCTTTCCTAAATAATTACCATCGTATGTTTTCTAATCCTTACTTCTAATTCATGCGAAATATTCTCAATTACGTTTAGGTCAGGTGATTGGGGAGGTGTATTGATAACTTTCAGGCAGTTATATGTATAATTGCCACATTTTGGCAATATGCGACGTATATTTTGGGTCATTATCACTATACAATGTAAAACAATTCAAAATTCCTAATTTTTCGGCACTACTTTTTAAATTCTTTTTTAAAATATTCAAATAATCAAATTTGTCAATGTTCAATTCAATAAATTACAAATTTCCTGTTTCAGTAGCTGATATACACCCCCAAACCATCACTGACCCATCTCCATGTTTAATAGTAGGATTTATATTTTTTATTTTAAATTCTTCATTTTGTTTACGCCATACAGTAACTTTGCCATCTGAACGAAGAAGATTAAATTTGCTTTCGTCGGCAAAAATAACTTCTTTCCCAAAACTAAAATCCTTAGTTATTTCTTGCTGTACACCCATGAAAATCATTCTTTCTTAGTACTCTTCTTAAAATTTTTGGATTAACAGATATTTGTAAATATTGTTCCACCTCGTTCGACAATTTAGGTACACTCAGCTTTGGATTTATTTTTATTTTTCTAACTATCCATCGCTCATCGTACACATTAAATTTTTTGTTCGGTGCTGTTCTTAATTTATTTGTAATTCTATTTTCTTCTTTGTAGCGTTTAATAATGTATTGAGCAGTGCTAATACTTCTACCAATAATTTTTGCAATTTCTCGATAGCTTTTCTCATTTTTAAAGTTCTTCGCGACAATTTCCCGCGACTCTAGTGTCGTCTGCTTCATTTTTACTATTATTACGATTTATTTCCTTGCTTCGATGTAATACCACGTTTATTAGCAAGCTAAAACAATGATCTTCTTTTGTTTAACGTTCTTCCTTTCTTTTCGGGGATTCCTGGAGGGGAATACCAGATAGAAAAATAGCGTACGATTTTAGCTGTGAGATGTTTTCTGCATCGTATTATAATAACTTTATTTTTTTTATGTTACGCAATATTAATTTCTTTTGTCATTATTATACAATAAATACAGATACATTTACAATATATGTCTGCCTTATATTTTTTCCAAATCATTCTCAAACTTCTTTTTTCGAATGAAACATACTTTCATATGTGCTGTACGATTTTGGCTGTGACTCACTGTAATCTACTGCTAAAGGATCAAAAGAATATGAAGAAAAGAAGAGTACAGATAGACTGGGAACAATAACTTGTAAGGAAGGCAGATCTCAGCTGAAGTTAGTGTGAATAATAATATAAGAAATGTGCAATTTGTATTCAACAATGCAAACATTTAATGTGAAATAAATTAGTTAAAAAGCCACCATTAACTAAGAAGCATAGAGTTATTTTTGTATCAATGAGAAACGGTTTAATTTGGATAGACCAGATAGAATAAGAAAGATAGATAGATTATTTCCATAATCTTAGGAAGAAACCAATGATTCTAAGCCATAATCAAATGCGTGGAAGTGGAGTCATGATGTGGTCAGTAATAAAAAATATTACAGCAAAGCAGGAATTGTATTTATAAATGAAACATTGAACAGTTGCAAGTATATACAACTTATCAACAAACAAATAATTGTCCATATGGCAAAGTGTCTAGAAGATTACTTAAAAAGTAATAATACATATACGAATTTTAGACTGGCCAGCCTGTGTTCCTGACATTAATATAACTGAAAACTGTTGGGCACAATTAGCCAATTAGTTAAGGAATAAAAGGAATGTATAATATAAAATTGGAATTCAATAAGCCGAAAATATATAAAAAAAACTATAGAAATCCATCCCAAAACATTTACTCTACATTGTACGCAATAAAGGAGGTCACACAAAGTATTATAAATAATACTGATAAAGTATATTCTATAGTATATCAAGAGTATGCTATCATTTTGTTGCATACTGTAATTCCCAACACTTCTATATTAATACCTCAGACAGTATTAATTACCCAAAACTGAAATTTTATATTTCTGTCCTTTTCTCTTGCCTTTCCTTCCTCTAAAAAATCTCATAACAATCAGCCTCCGAGGCTTTTTAAAACTGAATCCAAATCCTTTGTTAAACCAAAACTAATATTAAACCGAAAAACAAACTAATCAAGGTTAATTAAAAATTAATACTTCAAGAAGCAAAAATAGATTGAAAACTGATGCCACAACTGTTATAATCAGTATTGAAAAATATTTAAAGAAACAATTATTGTAGCTGTATAGTCTGATGAAAGCCATATGCAAATACCAAAAACAGACAAAGAAGACTAAAGTTTACAAAATGATACATTAATAAGAATTATAATTTTTTGAAGAATATCATTTTCACAGATAAAAGTAGAATAAACGTATCTGAATCAAATGGTAAACTAAAAATTTGGTACAAAACTAAATCAAGAATTGCAAGCACAAAACAGAAATAAAATTAATCAATGAAACACAAATGTGAATGTGTAATGGTTTGGGACTCTGTTCCGATAGTTGAGATTGGAAAATTATATTTTATTGAAAAAAATATGGATAAATTATATCTGAATATTCTGAAAATACATTAGAAAGACAGTACACTAAAATTAAGCATGCTAAAATCTTCCATATTTTGTGGAAGCATTGATCCAGAAGAGTCACGTACAAGGGTCATACCAAACACATTTAGCAGGAATTGAAAATAAAGGTGCAGGAACATGAAATGTCAAATAAAAATCAATTAAAGATAGCTCTGCACACAATTTGGGAGAACATTTAACCAAATTTTTTAGTAAAGCAAATTCAATTAATATCACAATGGTTACAGCAAATCATACTTAATAACAACTACCTCATAAAATATTGAAATCAATTTTCTACAATTTTGTGTTTTATTGTATAATTATTTTATACAATTTCGAGTGTAAGATCAATTTAGTTTACATTGAAGTTATTGTTGATTGTTTATAATAAATCATAATATTTATTGGTATATTCCTAGCCTGTTCAACGATCGGGGTGAGTTATACGTCATTCGATTCGTCTAATTCAGTACATTATTGAAATGCATTTCATTATCTGCAGAAATTCATTTTTTTATAAACTTCTTGGAAAAGTTACAGTAAAAAGTAAGATTAAGTATATTTTAACAGGTTCACAGGTGGAAACAAGTAGCTGTCATTAATGTGTTCAAAATGCCAGGTAATCAAATGCTAATTTGTTAAACATTTATTGAATAAAATTTCTGCTATTTCTGCTAATATTTCAATGAACAAATCACCATTTTCCTATTAGGTACATTTACTAAATAGATAATGGCTCAGGTATCCAATGAAGTCATGCTTCTTAAAAATATAAAATATTAATAGTATTATATGTTATAAAAAAGATTAAAAAATGTGTGGCATGCCTCCAAGTGGTTTCAATTTAATTCGTGTAAGCATCAGTATGGGATCTACATGGAGGCATAGTAAACACTTTTTGCCTGAATATTGTCGGTTAGTATTTGCAATTTCACACGTTTTTTAATATTTTTTGTAACATGTAATACCATAAATATTTTCTATTTTCAGCAAAAAAGATAATTTCATTGGGTACTTAAGTCATTACATATTTTATAAATCTTCCAAGCAAGGGAAGGATGATTTATTTAATCAGTTATTAAAAGAAATTTCAGAAATTTCATTTGATTCTGTAGAAAATCAAAATATACCAGACTTAGATGATAATGAAAGTTAATAATAAAAAAAAGTTAAACCAACGCACTACATACAATAGTAATTTATGACATTGTCTACTATTGGGGTGGCAACATTTTTTACTGTTGCTGCGTGTACTGTCTCCCTATAAGTACTGTCTGAGTAGGTCTTGGTTATATGGGGGGGAGGTTAATTGTTGCGCCACATACTGTTTACCTGACCGACTCATGCAAGGTCTATGCGTAAAAAAATGATTTTACAAATTCCCATTTGACAATGTAGCATTATCAAATTAAATGAATCATTTATAATTTGTAACATGAACATAGCAACGATAGTTACTTGTTTCTACCTGTGAACCTGTCAAAAAATATACTTAACCTTACTTTTTTACTGTAACCTTACAAGCAGTTTATAAAAAAATAACGAATTTCTGCAAATAATGAAATGCATATCAATAATGTATTGGATTAGACGAATCGAATGACATGTAACTCACCCTGATCGTTGAACGGGCCGTTTGTTAGGAATGTTCCGTTATTTCACATGTAATTATACTAAACCATCTCTTCCTACAATGTGTTTTATACGATTATGACTGAGTAACTGCACTTTCGTAATGCGCAAATCGTTAAGATATTCTTTACGCTATCAATGTCGTATTGAATATTCAAATATTGGTATAAAATTTAACGTGAAAGAATTTTATTAATTTCCTTTTACATAACAATACTGCGATGTAAAAATAAAACATGTAAAAAATTTCCACGAATTGAAGTTTCCGAGTATTATAATGCAACGGAATTATCACGCATACTAAGGAAAATTTACAACAGATTCTCATTATGTAAAGCGAAAATGTATCAATTCGTGTACTTACGTTACAAAGACTAACCTAAAGCGCTTTGAATAATCTAATGTACATACCTAAAAACACATAAAGTCGATCAACTCCAGTTTGTCTTTCAATTTTTGTAAAATACTTTGTCCAGAATTTATTCTCATCCCGCAATGCTTTTTCTAAACACTCTTTTACCGCCGTTATTCTCGCCATTCTGATTGTCACCACACCTAATGTATTAATTTTAAATGTCAAATGTCGCAGTAACGTCCGCGTCGCGTAAGTCTCCCCACTCTGGCCCTCGTCCTATATTATGTATAGTTAGTTACCAGATAAGAAATAACTAGATTACGGAAACCGTCTTACAACTGTTGCGTGTTGCGTCCCGAGATCGTGGTTTAGGGAAAAAGGACGGTGGGTTGGTGCCCGTGGAGCGTTGAACCGCTCTGCTCGGCGAGGCGCGCAAAAATCAAACTACTAAGTATGTTCGAAAATAGGTTGGTAAAATTTATTCGTCTTCGTCTCGACTTTTAGATACAACTTGGTTGACTTTCAATTTCGATCTGTTCCTCCGCGGAAAGCTTCTCGTCGTCCTCGATGTTCATCCCTTCTCCGGAATATTCCTCGATCCTCCCTCTGGATTGTCCTGGTCCAATCGGGGTTCGTGCCCTGCCCCATCCGTCCGGATCGTCTTCGATCGATGATCCACCCGAGCCGCGTGGAGGTGGAGGTTACGCGGCCATGTTGGAGCGGGCGCGCGTGAGAGAAAGCGTGGGAGTCGAGAGAGAAAACGAGGCTAGCGGCCTAAGCAACCCTTAAGAAAATTTATGACCCTTGTGAAAGTAAACGAAACTCGAAGCGAAGTGTCGCGAGGCCCTGCTGTGTGTCAAGACCATTGAAACTCTTAACGGAAATAGCTAATTCGGCACGGTCCGTAATAACTAAACAATAAACTAAAGGAACGATGGAAACTCGAATTCGACACGGCCTTTAGAAAATAAACGAAGTATCTCTAAAGCTGCGTCCCCACTGGGTCGGCACGGCTCGGCATTTGCCGATCGGCACAGCGTTCGGCAAAAGGCGGCAAAAGGCGGCAAAAGGCGGCAAAAGGCGGCAAAAGGCGGCACAAGGCGGCACGGCCGTGCCACTGCTATGCACCGCGGCAAAGCCATTTCTTTGGCGACCCATTGGGGACACGGCTTAAGAAATGCCTTCCTTTCTCTCTATCTTCCCCAGCTTGATCGCCCACGTTGAAAAGCGTACGATTTCGTTGTTTATTACAATACGCTGGTCGGTTTGAATTTCGCTCTCACATCAAACCTTGATATCCCTATGTCTTAGAACTAACTTCACATAATGCACAGATTGATACCAGCGGAGATCGCAACACCTCCCTTCATATACAAAAGATGTTTCCGATGGAAACAACTTTTCAAAAAAAGCAAACAGTACATCAATACTAACTTAAGTAAGTACGCAAAATTGAATGAATAAGTACTTTACAATAGACTATTATAACTACACCCCCTCTTCCCGCGCTAGCCCGCGGTAAACGAGCTACTCCGTCCACCCATTGTCCCACAGGAAGCGCGAGTTGAAGAATAATAGTTATATCATAACATTTTACAGTAATAAGATATAGTTATTCTATTACTATATAGGTAATATTAAATCAATTCAGGACATCCAGGCGTTATCAAACGCCCTAACCAAACTTATCTAAATATTCTTATCCAATATAGTTCATATAAAAGTACCGCAATATATCTAATACTTATGGTTAAACTATTTACACTGGATCTAGCCTTATACAGGCTAACTTAAGTTTATTCGCATGAACTATTTTAGTCTTATTTTTTCCTATAGCTATTTCAATAGTGAGATCGTTAAATATTTCAACTACTTTATATGGTCCTAACCAACTAGAATCAAACTTAGATGTCTTAGGTTCCCTAAGTAAATACACATCGTCACCTACAATAAATTTACGGGGATTTACATTTTTATCATACCTTATTTTACTCCTTTCTTTTGCCTGTTCTAGGTTAATCGCTGCTGTAGCCTGAGTAGTCGTGATCCGAGTAAACAAATCATCTAGATGTTCAACGAAAGTTCGCGGTATTTCTTGGTGACTAAATTCTGATGGTATGATGGCTTTTGTACCGAAAATAAGCTCATGAGGGGAGAAACCTGTAGCTTCATGCACAGAAGTGTTATATGAGAATATTCCAAAGCGTATCCAATCGTCCCAATCAGTTTTTCCACAATAATGCTTTAAATAATCTATAAAAACGCGATGTGCTCGTTCAAGAGAGCCCAATGATTGAGGGTGAAATGCCATTGATGTAATTCTCTGTATTTTGAATATTTTGCAAAAGTTACTCATTATTTCACTAACCAAATTACTTCCCTGATCAGTTTGAATAACACGAGGGCAACCGAACCTACTTATAAACTGTTCTGCAAGAGCAACTGCAACAGTAATGGAGTCCATAGTTGGTATAGGAATAGCATCAGAATGCTTCGTCAAATTATCCTGCAGAGTCAACAGATATTGATTACCCCTTTTAGTCACAGGTAACGGTCCCACAATGTCCATTTGTACTTTCTCGAAAGCTCTCTGAGGGGTATCTGTTATGCGCATTGGCTGTTTAGTTTTAACAGAAAGAATTTTATTTCTTTGGCAGTTGGAACAAGAGCGGACAAAAGTTGAGATATCTTTCCCCATTTTTGTCCAATAGAAATCCTCCCTTATCCTTTTGAATAACTTAGTCACACCCTGATGGCCACCCACTACAGACTCATGATATTCCCGAATAATCGAAAGTCTTCTTGATAAAGGGGGAGAAATGATTTCATCAGTGCAAACCGTAATATTGTATTGTGAACTATTAAATGTCTGCTTTAAAAGATATTCAAGAGAATTCCATTCAATAGGCTCAATGTTATTGTCACCTTTAGATACACTGATGGACGTCACACCTAATGTTTCCATGAGATTTTTAAGGGATGATATTGAAGACGCGAGATGTCTAAAATTTTGTTGTTCAGCAGATTTCACCTTGGAAAATAAGTGGAAAATATGTTGACTTAAACCGGGGAAAACCATTGCCTCACCCACGTGAACATTGTACGATTGTACCTGACCAATGGAAAACCTTCCTTGTGTTAACAAATTATTACTGATTTGTGAAGAAACTTGACAATCAGTAGAAAAAAAATGAAGAAGATTGTCTTTCCGCATATAAAGATGGTCCTTGCAATAAATGATACTTGGAAATGAAGAAGGAGGGGATGCTTGTACGGATGGAATGGAATTTGTCAAGAGAACTTTGAACTTATCATGGGTATGAGAGTCATTTTCATATACCTTTTCTACGGAGGATCGTGTCCGTTCTTTACCTGATTCTGTCATTCCTGAAGCACCAGACTCGCCCACACTCCGCCACAACCTCATCCGGGATGAACTGGACTGCGCACAGCCAGTGCCACGATATGAGTCGGGAATAAGAAGGTGCCGAGTCTCCGCTTTCGACACGAAACGGGGGCTCTTGTTGCCAATTTCTGGCAGAGCACAGATACCCTGAGATACAGAGACAGCCCCTAACGGTGCCTGTGGCGGGGTGCCTTCAAAGTCGGCCTTTCCGATGTCCGACAGACTCCCGAGTCGAAACATGTCCTCCGTACCTCTGCGGAGCGATCCTCCACTCATTACGTTAGTATTTAAGTCTTTAGAGGATTTTCCTCCCTGGAGAGATGCTTCTGTGGAAGGAATTGTCTCTTCCTCATCTGCCGTATGATACTCGTCACTATCATTTGAGTCCGAACCCGAATGATTTGTTTTGTTATCAGTCTCATTACACCCACTACTAAGTTCACTATCCACAAGAAAAACTCCCGCAACTAAACGTTCATTTTCGTCTCCCATAGAACCGTCAACGTCAATGTCCCCGACCTCCTTAGAGATTGCAATTGGCAAATCGTCGGCGCCTACGACAACCCTTTGCAAACGCCTTGGAGGGGAGACGTCCGTACTTTCAGTCTCGGTATGAATTGTCAAGCACTTAGATGGAAAAGGAAAGATATTTTGAGAATCGACAAGAACAGGATTTCGGGATAATGCATCTGCATTGGAATTGATTTTCCCAGGTTTATAGACCATCTCATAATCGTATTCGTTTAATCTAATACGCCATCTCATGATACGGGAAGTGGGATCTTTTACGTTGTGCAGCCAAATCAGCGGTCGATGGTCAGTGACTAAAATAAATTTGTGGCCATACAAATACGGTCGAAAATGTTCAATTGCAAATAAAATCGCTAATAATTCTTTTTCAATGGTTGAATAATTATTTTCAGCGTCATTAAGGGTCCGAGATGCATACGCAATTGGGAGATCCTTTCCGATCTGACCCTGACTCAATACAGCTCCTACTGCATAATTAGAAGCATCAGTTGTTACGAGGAATGGCTGTTGAAAGTTGGGAAATTGGAGCAACGGCTCCGAACAAATGATATCACGTAAACTCTCGAAAGCGAATTTGACATCTTTACTCGAGACAAAAGGTACTTCTGCCTTCAACAATCGTGTCAGAGGTTTAGCAATTTTTGCCATATGAGGGATAAAACGTCGATAATAACCAACTAACCCCAGAAACTGTTTAACATTCTTCCTGGTTTTTGGAATAGGAAATGACTTAACAGCCATGATCTTCCCGGGGTCTGGTTTCACTCCTTTGGCAGAGATAACGTGACCCAAATAGGCAACTTCTCGTCGCAAGAATCGACATTTCTCGGGTTGTAACGTTAAACCGGCATTCTGCAACCGAGCCAAGAGAATTCTCAATTTACGAGTATGCTCTTCCAAAGAATCAGCATATATGACGATGTCGTCCATATATACAAAAAGCTCGACTCCTTGTAAACCAACCAAAACCAAATCCATGCACCTCTGAAACGTGGCTGGAGCATTTTTAAGCCCGAAGGGCATATTATTAAATTCATAATGCCCATTAACAGTTGAGAAAGCGGTCTTGGATTTAGAATCCGGATGTATGGGGACCTGATGGAAGCCAGAGGCAAGATCGAGGGTACTAAAATACTTGGCGGCCCCCAATTGATCCAAGACATCCAAAATATTAGGGAGAGGATACGCATCATTGATAGTCTTCTCATTTAACTTACGGTAATCTATCACCATGCGCCAGCGAGGCTTACCATCAGGGCCAAGGTTTTTTAGGTACAACCCAAACAGGCGAATTATAAGGAGAAGCAGATGGCTGAATTATCCTATTTTCAAGGAGTGAGTCTATCTGTTTTTGTATTTCCTCTTTGTGAACTAGTGGAAACCGATACTGTTTCGTATTTATAGGTATTTCATCCGTAGTCACTATTTTATGTTTGATTGTACTAGTAGAATTTAATTTATCCGAAGGCAGATAAAATTGATACGGAAATTCATTCACGATTTTTAAAATACTAGCCTGTTCAGAATCGCTCAAATCCTGCATATCGAGAAGCTTCGCCAATTGAACGAGCCTAGCAGCATCGGCTTTGGATCGACCCTTATTTGGATTTCCCGTCCGAGCCGAACGCGGCGAAGGAGGAATTTCAATAAACTCTTCTAATTCAACGGGGGGTATTGAAAGAGTCACACTATCGTGAGTAGTATTAATAGCGAATATCCTAACAAATCCATTCTCTTGCGAGACCAGTACTTCACCTACGTAAACATCCGGCTGTGTATCTAATTTCCTTATATAACCCTCTTGTTTTTCAATATTTCTAACAGGGACGGTTAGGAGAGTTTTCATGCGAGGTGGTAAACTAACTGAAACCCCTGTATGAAGAGGCAATTCCTGCCCCCCAACCCGAAGACTATTTAGCCACAATGTCCTTGAATGTTAATATCGCTTGTTGCTGCTCCAAAAATGGAATACCCAAAATTCCTATTCCCGAAATCGGAAACTCATCGTTGACGATCTGGAATTTAACGCCAATACCGAAAATTTCGATAATCACCTCACCGAGAGTGCTAAGACCCTCTTTATCGATACCAACTATATTATAAATAACGTCAGTATCCACCAACAAGCCAGAAATAATGCCTTTACGTTTGATTAGATTAAGTTGGGAGCCAGTATCAATGAGAAAATTGCCAATTCCCTTATGGAATGAATTATGCGATAACCCTAAAATAGGCAATCGACCAACACCTTTCACGTCGAAGTGGAAGCATGTTCGTTTAACTGAGGACGCGCAATTAGGGGTTCGCTCCGCTTCGCGTTTCCCCGCGGAGCCCCCTTTAAGTTTAAATGTTGCGGCTTGGGTATAACAGTTTCACGTTGCATCCCAGTATTTTTGTAATTTCCCTTTTTAAAACAACGCGACTCGGTATGCCCTGTCTTTTTACAAAATTTACATCTTAACCTTTCAGGAGCCGATGGATTATGAAAATTCTTTTTTAGTTGAGGACAATTGTAACGGTAATGGCCTTCTTGATCACAATTATAACATTTAGTATTGCTGATACTAGCGGTAGCAACCCGAACATTTGACGATGAAAATTGCTTTACGGGGTCAGCCATTTCTTGTTCCAATCTACTCGCAATACTAACTATATCATCAAATGTTTTATCCGGTTCATTCGAAATAAAAAATCTCAAATTTTGATTCTGAAGACCACATTTAAAGTTTGTGACGGCTGACTGATTTAATAAAGCCGCGGCTCCTATTAGCTGTTCGGAGTTAAATTTTTCTTTAGCTGCCTCTACCCCTCGGCTTAAAATTTCACGGCCCCGAGCCCCATAAAACTCTACCGACTCGTGTATCCCTTGTTGCAAACCCCTCAGTTCGCCGTGAATCTGATCAACGTCGAAAGACCGAGCATACACTTTCTTTAACAGGCCAATGATCTCGCTTACTGTTGTTGGTTCTGGACGATTTGAAATTAAAATATCCGCAGGACCTTCGATCTTATTGCGAATTATAGTTAATAAATTTCCACGGTCGGAAGGTTTAACTCGGGAATCGATAAGTTCGCACTGTTTAGTGAATTTAAGTAGAGAACCAGGTTTCCCGTCAAAGCGCGGAATCAGGTCGGAGGCTAATTTTAACGATAGATATGAAATTTCAGGTGATTCAACTGACGGCAGGCTAACAGCATTGATTACCTCAGGGCGATAAAATTCATTATCTAAACTCGGCGAATCAAACCTTGGGGTACTCGCGCGCACCGGCAAAAGACTTGAAATGTCCGGTTGTACCATAGAATCATTGGCCGGTTCTCTAAGAGTTTCAGCGGATACATCCCGGACATCAAATTCTCGGGATCTATTTAAACTAATTAAACGATTCCAACGTCTCCTCATTGCCTTACGACTACGTAACATTTTGTTGATATAAGATTACGATTTAAATAAACTAATTAACCATCAACTTTACTTTAAACCTAATCGAAAGCATATAAACTTATAAATATACGTCTTACGTGAACTATTGATTGTCTTTTCGTCTCGCACGTTGATTTCAGATAATTTCACCGTTGCAGCTCCTCGTTATACTTGGGATACTCCAAAAAGATCGTTTCCGCTCCGTTGTCGAGAGATGATGTGTGTCAGATTCCGATCGAATTGTACATGTGGTTCCAGGGAGTTCTCACACGGCCACTGAAAACCACCCACCTCTGGCATTCGCCCCTTTGCCCACGGGGAAACCGTGAAAAACCCGTGAGAGAGAGGATGTACCTTTCGCACTAATTTAACACACGAATGATCCACTCGCGAGTCGGCAAAGTTAATTGAATAAATTGTCATTCAATTTCTTTTGAAAATCCCACCACTGTCACCAAATTATGTTGCGTCCCGAGATCGTGGTTTAGGGAAAAAGGACGGTGGGTTGGTGCCCGTGGAGCGCTGAACCGCTCTGCTCGGCGAGGCGCGCAAAAATCAAACGACTATGTAAGTTCGAAAAATGGTTGGTAAGATTTATTCGTCGTCGTCTCGACTTTTAGATACAATTTTGTTGACTTCCGAAATCGATCTGCTCCTCCGCGGAAATCTTCTCGTCGTCCTCGATGTTCATCCCTTCTCCGGAATATTCCTCGATCCTCCCTCTGGATTGTCCTGGTCCAATCGGGGTTCGTGCCTTGCTCCCTCCATCCGGATCGTCATAGATCGATGATCCACCCCCAAGCCGCGTGGAGGTGGAGGTTACGCGGCCATGTTGGAGCGGGCGCGCGTGAGAGAGAGCGTGGGAGTCGAGAGAGAAAACGAGGCTAGCGGCCTAAGCAACCCTTAAGAAAATTTATGACCCTTGTGAAAGTAAACGAAACTCGAAGCGAAGTGTCGCGAGGCCCTGCTGTGTGTCAAGACCATTGAAACTCTTAACGGAAATAGCTAATTCGGCACGGTCCGAAATAACTAAACAATAAACTAAAGGAATGATGGAAACTTGAATTCGACACAGCCTTTAGAAAAGAAACTAAGTATCTAAGAAATGCCTTCCTTTCTCTCTACCTTCCCCAGCTTGATCGCCCACGTTGAAAAGCGTACGATTTCGTTGTTTATTACAATACGCTAGTTGGTTTGAATGTCGCTCCTAATTTGCCTATCGATTATACATATTTCTGGGGCTACGTTCGCGTGGTCACGCAACAATACATTACATAAACATCTAGAAAGTAGGTAAGCGGGCCCCTTAGAGTCAGGAAGACGCCGCCCGAACAAAGTTTATGACTTTATGACTCCCGGCCTTTCTCGACCTGAGTTTTACCCTTGCAGGACACCGATAATTTTTGGAAGTGAGGACAGAATTAAAAATGATTTTATAAGACGAGCCCCTGCCCGTTCGCCGAAATTTGGCACGCAGATGTGAAAGAAAAAGTTAAGCTATTTACTATCCTTGCCTGGCCCAACTGTAGTATGGAAAGTTTGAATACAATCCCAGGCCCTCGTAACTCTCTGCGTTTAGGTGTCGCTTAAAACCTTCCAGCTGTGCTGTTCGCTACGAACTCGCATGCTTACAATAAATCTCCCCGTTACAATGGAATTCGAATTTCGCTCTCACATCAAACCTTGATATCCCTATGTCTTAGAGCTAACTTCACATAATACACAGATTCATACCAGCGGAGGTCGCAACAGTATGGTGAGTCCAATAGCTTGGTGTTGTTCATGAGTGATAAATGGTGATGGAAACGAAACGTGTCAATTGAAATTGAATTTCAGTGTTCAAGAACGATATCTTAGAGTTTAATCTAATCGTTTGAACGTAGATAATCATTTTTTATGTGGACACGATAAACGATTATTATCGATATTTTTTTCGTTTCATCTGCTCATTCGAATATATTTATAACCTTTCCAATCGTGGCCTGCCATACATTCGATTCGCATCGATGATTCAAAAAGATATACCACTTTCGTCAGACATGATTGACCAAACGGAAGATGATGATATGTTATACGCGGTGACATGGAAGAAGTGATAGATACGAATGAGTCCGAGACTTTGAAGATGAAGTCTCAAGCGACGAAGAGCCTCTGGAAATGCAATCTGTGTATTCACCGGCCACAACCAGGTTAAAAAAATCTCTATGTTGCACTATCACTAAGATTGTAAATGATTTTACTTTTACTTTAACTGTAGGTTCCATCTTTTGCGGATCACTGACTAGAAGTAAAAAATTGGCTGTTATGGAGGTGTAGGAATGTAGCTTATGTTGGGGAGTACATCATCTGGAGAAATTATTTTTAAAGCTAGAAACTATCAGATAGTATAGTCTCTTCTGTGAATTTAGTCCAAATGAAATGTACTTAGCTATTGGCGATATGAGTGGTATTGTTTATGTTTGTACAGTACCTGACAATGAAACAATCCTCAGCTATAGATAGGTGAGCTGACGGTTGGTTTTTTCTAATTTTGTAATTGCATTTTGCATTGTTTTGATTGACAGTAAACTGAAAATGTATTTGTTATTACAGTGGTTAAAGTGGCATCCTACTTCAAGCAATTTATTTGTAGGAAATCTGATGGAGAATTATATAGGTTCAAAGTACCTACTGAATATCACAATTTTACCAATGGTTACAAATATGGATTGAAGTTGGAGCAATATTCCAGATGGTATTTGTTTTTTAAATTATTCTTATGCTAGATACTCCTTTCGAAATGTTTTTATTGCAATTTGTAGCAATCAAAAACTGATCTACTCTTGTTCAAACATTCTTTTGAGACATTACCCATTTAAAAAATATGTCACTGTATGCGTTATTTGGACTCAAAATTATGCTTTTTTTTTACAAAAATGCGTGTTTTAATCGAATGCAAATTTTCAGGTAAACGTGTTGCATTAGGTTATGCAGACTGAATGATTAAAGTAATAGATTTGCAAACGCTGTCCGAAATATCAAGTTCTTCTTCACTAGGCCATTCTTCTACCATAACTGATATCGATTGTCACCCAAATAATAATCTAATCATTTCGTCGGACGTAGAGGGGAAGACTATACTTAGCATGGCAAACACTGCACGGTAATGTAAATTTGTATCTTTGTATTACTATAAGAATTGAAATAATATATTAACCTTTTTAGATTATTTCTGTTCTGCAAAACCTGTATAATTTCGAGCAAAGTAATATTACGAATGTCAATAATGATGTGTGAAAATGTTGATAATGATGACAGGAATAACAACTGGGTAGAAGCGGTTGCCTTCTGTAAAAATCCCGCGTTCCAAGTTGCCGCAACTGGTACAGTTAATGGAGAAATCTTTATCTGGGATATCCCAAAACAGGTAATACTACTTTTTCTTAATCGATTGTAACCTTATTCAGCTACTGATTTCTCTGAAATTACTTAGGTACTTAGGTGTAAATAGATCAAGCACACGGTACATCCAAATTGGTGTGGAAAGGAAACACACACATCCTGTTTCAGCAGGACTGGATGGTATTCTCAGGTGTTTCGATGCAAGAAGTGGTCATGTTGCGATCATTCACAGGACACACAGCAGACATTTATGATTTATTTATATCCGAGTAAGTTGAAGTAACGAATATTTTATTTTTATGATAGAATTTGACGAATGCGATGGAATATTAAATGTTTTTCAGAGATGAAAAAGTATATTGACGACTTCCGATGATGGTACAGCAAGAATCTTTGATATTTCATCTCTACCTTAATGTAGTTTATTACTTTGAGAAAATTATAAGTCTTTGTTATTATCTAAAATATATGTACATTTTATGAAAGTTGTTCATACATATATGATATATATAGGAATCGAGAAATTACTGGCCAAAACCATTCTACTAACCTTGCCATCGCCGTATCGTTACTATTCCTATGTTAACGATCCTTTTCTGTGGGTTATGAGGATTCCGATCCCACATATATTTCATCTTTTATTTCAATTGAAGTTGAAGTTCATTTATTTTTTAGCTGGTGACCTGCAATATTTTATTCTTGCACCATTCTGCATCAAGAGTGTATCTTTTTTTTCCACAGAAAATGAGTCGGACCATGTTCTTCACCTTTCTCAAAACTGAATAATGACTAAATTCATGCAATTTTGATCTCACTAGACCGATTCCTCCTGCTTTTTCTGGTGCAGGATGATATACTCTTCC